AGGAGACCCCAAGCCTGGCTCGCATACCTTTGCTCAACCCTGCCTGGGCAAGCGCAACCTGCCCCGGGAGAGACGGCATAGCTCCACCTGCATCTCAGGACATGCTGTCCCCGCGCCAGCCTGCGCTTGTGCACACGCGGCTGGAATCATTCGGTCAGAAGCCCGGCAGTAGTGGCAGCCGTCAAGCCGGAGGGTGCAGTTGATTCATGAGCTCCAGCCTCTTCTTTGAGATGGAGAAACTGAGGCTGAGGAGGAAGGGGCCGCGTCCTCACAGCGGTGACCCCGCGCCGCAGTGTCGAGGCAGCGTGTGGTAAGAGTGTGCTATCTGGCAGCACACCTGTGGGGTCCGTTCTTGGCGTGGTGTTGGCTCATCTGGCGAGAAACAGATGCAGGTTGAGGGTCACCGAGCAGAGGTGAATACTAAAACGATCGTTTGCAATAGTGTGGGAAGCAGAAAGCATTCAGAAATGGTGTAGCACTGAGGGCTAGCAACTGGGGCAGCCTCTGCCTTCCCTAGGTCAGAGGAAACCCCCACGGACCTTTAGCTTGAGGGGAGAGGACCAGCCAGTCCAGCCTCGCCTCCTGCCCACCCGCTCACCCACCCCCCTCCTGCTGTTACTTCCCATTGGCCAAACCCATTCAGAAGTCAGAGGGCGAGGAAGGCTGTTGATGCCACCCATGGAGGTCACTTCCTGGGCACAGGGACAGCAGCGGAGGTGTGGAGCTGGTCTAGAGGGATGAGTGGAGGAGATCTAGTACCAGGCACTCGCGGGCGTGAGCCCCAGTTCTTGTCCGCTTTTACAGACAGCACGGAGCCAGGGTATACTTATGGTCATATACATTCGTGGGAAAGGGCAATCGAGAAAAAAATCTGAGTCTAGCATGGTGACACATGTCTGTAATCACTGTGGGAGGCTGAGTCAGGGGGATCACAATTTGGGGTCCAGCCTGGGCAACTTAGTGAGAATCTGTCTCAACAAATTTTTTTTTGAAAGAACTAGCAGTGTATCTCAGTGCCAATGTCCAGTACTGCAAAAAAGAAAGAAAAGAAAAACCCAACCTTTAGAAAGCCTACCGGGAGGGGCTGAGGATATAGCTCAGTGGCACAAGCACCTGCCTGGTAAGTGCAAGGTCCTGAGTTCGAATCTCAGTACAAAAAAAAAACCCCAAACCAAAAATCCTACTGTGGAAGAGGGGTGTGGACCCAGCACAGGGTCTTGCTGGCTCTGTGGGCCTGCACCAGTTATCTCAGCCTTTCTGTGGCCATTTCCCAACTGTATGCAGGAAGTCACGATGCTGACCTCTGGGACTACAGAGGACAGTGGACGCTCAGCCCCTGCTAGAAAAGCGGGGGAAGTCTCACGCGATTCCCTTTTTTCCACTCACAAGACTGCTGGTGTCCACCTGAACAAGGCCGTCGACTGCAGCCTGAGTGTTCATGGGATCATCTCTGTTGCTCGTCCCCAGTGCCCAGGGGAAAGAGGGACGGAAACAGAGTGCTGAGTCTGCATGGTGGCTGCACTGGGGTTCCGCTGCCTGGCCGGCTGCCCCTCGGTCCCCAGGGCGGACTCAAAGCTCTCTAAGCGCCTCTGGGACCATCATAGTAGGGAGTGAGTACCTGATAGAGGAATAAAAGGAAGAGACCTCAGTGTCCCACAGCCAGGTTTCCTTCATCCGGGAACTCTGTACAGAGTGAGAGCGCCTGAAGTAGCTGCTCCGCCACCAGCCCCTGGAGGAGACTCCACTCTGTCCTTGGAGTGCAGAAGCAGCTATGCACAGTTTGTTAATGATGGGCGTGGCTGTGTGCCGATAAAACTTTATTTACAAAGACAGGCAGCCTGCAACTTTGGGCAGAGAGTCCTAGATTGCCAACCTGCCCTGCAGACTTGGAGCTCCTCTGTCCTCTGCTTGTGTGTCGTAGGACTGACTGCTCTCTACCTGGAGAAGCAGCTCCTGGGGCTGCTGAGAACTCATGTCCGGGTCTCCTGGCCCTAACCCAGTGCCGCTGCCAGAGGAGTGACGTCTGGTCCCTGGGATGTCAGGAGGAAGGTTTCCAGGCCTCATGGAGGAGATGGGGTTTAGGGGCCGGGAGGGACGAGAGCAGCGGGGTGGCAGGTCAGGTGGGTCCTACAGGTGGGCAGGGCGTGGTGATTCTTGCTGCAGGGGACCTCAGATCTCATCCGGTGGTGGAGTTCTGATCTTCAGGAGGGTGGGTGGCTCAGCCCATGCCTGGGCGTGTTCTGTCCCCTGCCGTGCCTACCCTGGTCCGCAGGCCGAGAAACAGCGCAGGCCAGGAGACAACTCCAGAGATGAGGGGCGAGGCGCTTGTGTGTGACAGGCAGAGCTCTGGGAAGACAAGCACCCCCCTCACCTGGGCTGCGGTGGGGTCTGCGGGGGCAGCCGAGTGTGGGACCCGCAGACCTTGAGCACCTACTGTGTCCTGGCAGCATGAGGGCTTTAACAAGCTGGGTAGGAAGCAGTCTGCGTCCCCCAGGGGATGGAAGTGGGGACAGCAGACTCCCTCAAGGCATGCTGGGATGGCCATAGATGGAGGCCCCGGCATGTGTGTGAGAGCCCAAGGCCTCAGTGGCGGGGCTACCGCCTTGGCTGCTGTGTCCTGGGGTCCCAGAGGGCTGCCCCAGCTCCAGGGAGCGTCCTGGTTCTCATGCTCTTTGCGCCCCAGGCCACTCTCCCTGCAGCGCCCCCTCCACCCCTGTTCAAATACAAAGTGGCCCAACTGCCAGACAGCGCCATTCCCTGTCAGTATTTCAGGCTTCACAAGGCACTGTCCAAACAACCCCACGAAGTATAAATGGATTGAGGCTTTCACAAGCAAACAGCGCAGGTATCACACCAGGACAGTGAGCAGAGGGGACAGCAGGGTCAGGAGGGACCCCCACATCCCTGGAGGCAGGCCTAGGGTTTTGGGGTGAGCCCTGCACACGTGGGCGTCTGTGCCTCCAGTCTGAAGGAAGGTGCCCCACGGACTGTCCCCCAGGGGACTTTGGGAGGGACCAGGAGAAAAGGCAGTGGAGCGGGGTGCTTGCTCAGAGCCCTTGACCTTAGGGAGAGGCCCGTGGTCCGTTCTCGGGTCACAGAGGGACAGCAGACAGGACGCAGGTGCCTGTCCTTCCCAGACCTCACTCTCTGCTCCTTCCAGCTGGCCCAGCAGGCTCTCGGTGTGCTGAAGCAGGGTCGTCAGCCCTTGCTGAGCCTGCTGGGGCACCCACAGCACCCCACGCTGGTCCCTCTGTACCGACGCCCCCTGAGCCACATGGGCCAGGAGTGGGGACACAGCCTGCACATGCAAAGGCCCGGATGTTGGCCCCCTTGCCTCCCTCCGCCGTCAGAGGCCTCTGTCTCTAGGAGCTTCTTCCTGAGCTCCTTCCTCCCTGGCCGAGAGGCCACACACTGTCCTGAGGACACAGGTACACGGCCTCCGTTTCTCCGTTCTGAGGTTTCTCCCAGCCCTGGTGCTTTTGGCAGCTACCCGATTTGGGGCCTGCTCTCGCCCCCTTTGTGGTGACAGAGGTCCCTGTAGTCTGACAGCAGTTGGAGGCAGCCCCGGGCTAAGCTGACAAGCGTCACGCAAACAGGCCCAGCTGTGGAGCGAGCGGGGACTGCAGCAGCCCATGGGGCAGGGACAGGGGACAGGGCAGGGCCATCTGCCAAGGCCAGGGCTGGGAGCTGGCCAGGCCGAGTGTCTGGCGTCAGTGGTGAGCCAGGGGGTCCAGCCTGGTTCCCCTGGGGGAAAGGGGCAGCCGTTCTCCAGGACTGGAAGCCATCTGTGGGTGGGCCCTCAGCCCAAACCATCGCCCTCCTGAAAGCCACTGTGAGGATGAGTTCTCCCGTGCCAGGCTGACTCAGACCGCTGGGGGCCTGGGACACCACATGCTGCTGGGCCTGCCTTGCTGGGCACCTGGACAGAGCTAGGGCGACGGCTGTAGAGCAAGCATCTGTTTGGGAGGAGCAGAGGACCTGTCTAACCTGGCAGTGCCCTCCGGGGGGCATTCAGACCAGGCAGCCCCTCAAAACACACTACGGAGGCCCCTTACTCCCCGGCCCAGGTCAAGACAGCAGGAGAAGGTCTTCGGGTGCTTTCCTGCCAAAGCCCTCATCTGGATCCCCAAGAGCTGGGTGGGGTGAAGGCAGCTGCTGATTCCTCAAGCCTTCGACTTGGGTGGGGGCGACGGGGTCTCTAATCCGCCCCTGATGGATGAGATAGGCAGATCTTTCGGGAGCAAAGGATGACCTTGAGAAAAATGTGAATTCTGTCAAAAGATGAGCGAAATAATCTCCCTCCCTCACGCTGCTGTCAATAAACCTCCTTGGCGGCGGCGCTGGGAAAGTTTGCTGGCTGCGGAGCCTCCTGGCTCCGAGGCTGTAGCATTTGACTCCGTGATAAGAAATTGCCAGGCGCATTCTAATTACAATTATCATCATCGTGGATGTCTCTCTTAATTACTTGCTTATAATTAGCTGTTGCTTTTTCCTCAGCATTTGTATACTTTGCAGATTTGCTGACATTTGAGAGCCCCAAAATAGGGACATTTGGGGAGGGGAGCAGAAAGGCGGGGGCAAGGTACCTGCTCTTGTGGGGAGCCCGGGACATTTCCGGGCCTTTGAAGGAAGTGACTGGGACAAGAAAAGGTGCAAAAAGGGACAGGTGACGTCCTGCGGGGAGAGGGCAGGAGGAGGGGACTGTGCATGCCGGCTGGCCTGCCAAGGGTCTCCAGAGGTCCCGCCCTGGGGAGAAAGTTCTTTAAAAACCAGCAAGCCCGTCGTTTCCGGGGCTTGAGTTTCACTTTGGGAAGGGAGGCGGGAACAAAGAGCACTGTTGTCAGATCCATTTCAGAGTTAATTAAACAATACAGAGTTTGACTTCCCTCCAGCCAGGAATACGTCCCGAGTGTCCCTGGCACCAGGGAATGGTGGCAGAGCCAGTGGCGCTCCTTGCCCGGATGGCTGGCCTCACTGAGCTCTCCCTTCCTTTCCCGCAGCCCTGTGTACGGAGGAGTGTGTGCACGGCCGCTGTGTGTCCCCCGACACCTGCCACTGCGAGCCTGGCTGGGGAGGCCCTGACTGCTCCAGCGGTGAGTCTGGGGCCTTGGCACGGGCGGGGGCTGTGGCACGCGTGTGCTGACAGCTGTGTTGGGCGGGGGTGACGCAGGATGGGCGGGCCGAGCCTGGGGGAGTGGGGGCCTGCGGTGCTGGGTGATGGCACGCTTGGGGGCGGGGCTCTAGCGGGGGTATGGGTGGTGGCTCCGGGCATCTGTGGGTCTGTGTGTATTCCATGTAGAGGGAACTGGGGGTCGTCTGTATGACGTTGGCTGTTGCTGGAACACCTCCAGATGTGGTCTTTGAGGGTGGATGTGAATTTGAGATGCCACCCAAGTGCAGACCCAGGAGGCCACCATGGAGTAGGCCTGGTCCTCAGCTTCATTTGTAGGTGTAGGCGGCCTGGTTGTGAGACTGGGAATCCTCCGCCCAGAAACCATCCCCTCTAGCTCGTTTCTTCCAAGTACTTGCAGGGGAAACTCAGCCAGTCGGCGGATACTTCAGGTCACAGACATAGCGGATTTTCAGCGAGGCCTTGGCCAGTGTTGAAGCCCAGGTTTCTTCCTGCTTTGGCTGGGGCGGAGTCTCTTTATGGGACCTGGCTTGTAGCATAGCCAGGCCGATCCCTGGGGTTCCAAGCCTCATTATGCAGCTACCTCGGGGGCCCCTCCATGTCCCTTACCCCATCCTGACTCAGGGCCCATGCAGATTTGGGGAGGACCATGCTGGATCCACGTTGGCCTCATGTGTGGCTTTTGTGCTCTCTCGCTGTCCCTGCTGGGGTGGAAGCATCTAGTTTTGGTTCTTTTTTCCAAAGTCCCCTAGTGGAGCCTCCCTGTCGGTCCAGCCTATGAGAAGCTACCAGCCAAAGCAGCTGGAACTGTGGCCATGAGGTTTTGTTCAGAGCCCTGGTGATTACCTTGGCTCAGGAGTCCAGGGTCAGCTTGGGGCACCCAAGAGAGACTCTGATGCGTTGGGGCCCCTGATGGCCGTGGTGGTCTCCTCCTTCTGCCTGTCCCACTGCGTTGAGGTGGGCGTGAGCTAAGCAAGAGGCCAGACAAGGAGCCGTGTGTCTTCGGGGCTCAAAGGGGAGACTTCCCGTGCACTTGACCGGCAGGAGACGTGCTGGTTGGGTACAACGTCTGAGCTTCCTCCTGGCTGTGCTTTGCTTTGTATAACTTCACTTACACCGTGTCCTTGCTCATATCTTTGCTAAAGACATATTGACTTGGATCGGGTGGACCCTACTGGGAAGGGTCTGCCCCCGAGTCCAGGGCTGGAGCCACCTGTTGGAGGGGACACATGGCCCTGCGTGCGTGTGACTCCCCGTTGGGGCCACGGTGTGGGGTGGCCACTGTTCCCAGGATGGTCCTGGGCCGTGGGCAGACACTGTCTCCTCAGGTGGGAGAGGCGGAGAGATGGCAGCACTTGGGGGCCAGGACACGGTCCTTCAGGGTAGGTCTTTCCGCCAGAGTGAGTCTGCCAAACGCACAGGTAACGGTCTTGTTACTTGGGGCAGAGTGAACCCCCGATACGGGCATCAGGCTTGGTGCGGAGCGGCCCCCAAGTGACTTCCTTTCCATTGAATGCACTGTAGAGGCTGAAGCACCACCGCTCTCAGGTCTACCTGAAGTCGGGTACCGAGGAACTCATCAGAAGTCCTGAGAGATGGCTTCCAACCCAGTTTGGAGGCACTATAGCACTGAACTGAGGGAATTTCAAGATTTCTACTTTCATGATCATTCAGAACACTGAATGTTTAAAGGCCCTGCTGAGAGCTTTCCACCTTCTGCTTGGATCACCTCCAGTGACAGGGAACTCACTACCTCCTGTGCAAGCATCTTCTGACTATTAGAAAATTTTCTCTTCCATCCAGTGGAAGTCTATGCATTGCTTCTACCGCTTGTTTCTTGCCTGTGATAAAGGCTGGGGCAGGGTGGTGGGTCATCTAGGACTTCTCCCGAGGAGCCCGGTGGACTGCAGCCACACAGCAGACACCAGGGCTGCATCTGTGAGCCAGCCCCTCAGGTGCAGCAGGCAGCCACCCGGCCCCTCCCCGGCTTTTCTTCTGCCAGCCCCTCCATTTCTCCTGTGACATCTGGGCTGGCATCCTCTCCCTCAGCTCACGGCCTTTATTCTCCTTAAATGATTGCGCCTGAGTCTGACCACACAACTGCGGGTTCCATCTGACCAGTGTAGAAAAATAAAAATGAAGATTGCTACCATTTATTGAATTTTACTATGCATTAGGCATGTATTTATATACTCGTTTAATCTTCATGACAGCCTTATGATGTGAGAATTATAAATGGCCCCATTTTATCAATGAATAAGTTGTAGCCCAGAGAAGTTAAACCTCTTCCAACAGATATGGATGGTAAATGGTGAAGCCAGGACCATCACCCAAACAAAAACTGGGGTCCTGAGCCTGAACTCTTAATTACTTCCTGCTTCCTTCTGGATTCATTCCCCGACCTGCCCCCACCTTGGTTTTTTGAGATTGAGTCTTGCTATGTAGTTCAGGCTGGTCTTGAACTCATTATGTAGCTCATGCTGGCCTCAAACTCACAGCAGTCCTCCTGCCTCAGCCTCCTGAGTGCTGAGATTACAGTTGTGAGCCACCACCCCCTTCAGGGTGCTAAACCTCTCATAATACAGCCTAAGGTTGAAGTAGATCTTCCATGTGAAATCATAGTTGCTCCCAAGGAAGAGAAGGATCTACCGAAAAGAGATGTCAGGGAGCTAGAGGAGCCAGCTGCGGGGTACAGGTTGTTAGCAATCTGTGTCTGCTTGCTGATACTCTGCCAGAACATTGGCTGCCTGTGTGTGGCCTGCAGTTGGCCTGTGACAAGGGTGTCTCAGGTCCCAGGGGGTGCAGTGTTTGTCCCTGGAGAGCTCTGAATGGCCCTGTACATGGGACGCCCTTGCAGAGAGGCCTTGGTTTGGCTTGACTGGAAGTAATTGCCAGTCTGCTTTTTTCTTCTCTCTGATTCCATGTTTAAAAGGTCAAACCTCACTAGATTTTTGTTTTGTTTTGTTTTGTTTTGTTTTGTTTTTCTCCAGTACCGGGAACCGAACTCACGACCTTGCGCTTGCCAGGCAGGCGCTTTGCTGCTGAGCTAAATCCCCAGCCCCAAACCTCACTAGACATGTAGACAGAAAAGTACATGGCCCCCCCGACCTCAGAGATGACCACTGCGGGCCTTTGGGTGCTTGGCCTGTCTGTCACTTCTCTGCCCATTTGCATATACAGGTACTTCCAAAGTATGTGCACATGCCAGTCCATAACTTGCTTTTTTTTGTACTGGGAATTGAACTCATGACCTCAGGCTTGTCAGGCAAGCGCTTATGCCGCTGAGCTACATCCCCGGCCCCATAACTTGCTTTTTCAACCTAACTTTTTAAGTCATGCACTCATTTCCTTGTCAATAAACCTTAATCTCTTTTTAAATGTTTCATGACCCAGCGGAATTCCTGCCGTGGATTACCAAAGGCATTTAACCAGTCCCTCGTTGCAGAGCACGGAGGTTGTTTCTGATTCCTCCCGATGATAGGTCCACCATCCTTTATCCGAGGTCCTCGGGGCCTGTGGGTTTCGGAGTTTAGAATTTTCCCTGGTTTAAAAAGCACGTTATGACTACATCGCATGTGACACGAACCTCCACAGAGTCCGCGCAGCACCCTGGAAGAAACCCTCATTTTCTGACACATGACATAACGTATCTAGTGACGTGAAGACTGTGTGTAACCTCAGGTCAGTTCTGTATGGTTTTACCTCTACGTGAATATTGCCACGGAACTTCAAAAAAAATACGTTGTTTTAGATTTTTGGGTTGTGGATGTGATGGATAAAGGCCCGTGGCCTTGGCTAAAAATGCTGCAGAGATTCTTCTTGCGCATCTGTCTTTGCCCCCTTGTCCCAATTTGTTCTCACGATAAATTCCTGGAAGAGGCAGGGAGGGTTATAACGATCCATCATCCTGTTCCCTGCCCCTGCTCTGCCCTTTCTGGCCGCCAGGGGATTTATGAGTCCAACAGGCACAAAGGGGACAAATTTAGTACTCAGGTGGGGGTGGGGACTTTCCATTCTTTTACAGACTTAAACCCTATAGCCTCATTTCTTTAAGGCCTGGTCTAATCTCTTTCTGCTCCATAAAGGAGGAAGGCAGCCACGTGAGCTTTGTGGGCAGTTCCGAGTTGTTAGCTGGGCCAATATGGGGAAGTAGGGGGGCTGCGTGCTTGGTCGTAACCCTCCAGCCCATATTATAATGAATCGTAGAGGCTGGAATGTCAGTTTATACTGTATAAAGACGACAGAGTGACTCTTATTAAATTGCACTAATCTCACAAGTGGAGATAAAAAGGAAAAAAAAAAGTTTTCCTATATTGAATATCTAGCTTTTTAAAGTAATTAGGAATATTAAAGCACTGACAATGATTGAGATAGAAACATTATTCATAACTTTTATTTCCGTACTGGGCAATGATCCAGTATATTTCATTTATGAGGTTTGAGCTGTAAGGAGAAGGACGTGAGCCAATTCCTAAATTAAATATGCCCTGTTAACTTTTATAAATGATACCCAAGAATTAACTTGGAAGTGTAAGCTTTCATTGTATTATTTAATTATTGTATTTCCTGGGTCCCTTGTCTCCATTTCCGTAGTGCTTTGCAGTGTGGATTCTGGGGAATAGAATGGGATTTGGGTTTTGGTCTCAGAGCCCCTTGGAAGGGCTTGGGTAGAAAGAAAGAGAATCCTGCCCTACTGCTGCCTCATCGTCTTCCGTGTTCTTAGATTCCCCGAGGCTGGTCTCATTGACGCACACAGGAGAAGGCGTGGACAGAGGATCCCGGCACAAGGGTCCTACTGTCTGGCAGGCCCCTCCCCCACCCCAGATGCAGCCCCAGTCAGCGCTGCAGAGCAGCTCCAGGCCCCGAGGCAGCGCGCACCAAGCTGGGCCCCCGCCAGCATCCACTAATGCCAGGTCCAGTGTGCCCTTATCTTGCATGGCGTGTGGGACTCCTGGCCGACGT